TTATTGCAGTGACGTCACGAGGCTGACCCTTGGCTCTCAGTCGAACTGCAGTTCCCGGAGGAGGCTGTCCACGCTCCTGGGGAAGGGCTCGGCGTCCCTCGCCTGGCCTCGGCGCTGCGAGTCGTCGATCATGAGGGTCTCGGCGTTCACGTAGTCCTCGCCCTCGTCGGCGGGGCGGCCGGGCGGGGGCGTCGCTGGTGGGCCCGGGAACTCGAAAGAGGGCGGGTCGCGGCGGCCAGCCTCGATGGGCACCGGCTGGGACATGGATCTCCTGAAGGCCGAGAGTCTGGGCGTGGAGGACGAGCCGTGACCCTTGGAGGCCTGCGAGGCGGGCGTGTAGACGGCGTGGTGGCCGCCGGGGAGGCGCGGGGCGGTGTGGCTGCTGGACAGGGTTCCTTCGGCGACCATGAGGCTCGGGTTGCGCACCTGGTAGAACTCCACCTCGCTCGTCTGCACGCCCAGCCCCGCGCTCGGCGACGGCGCCAGGCGGCTGCGGCTGGCGGGCCCCTGCTTCGCCAGCCTCGCCTTCATCCTCTTGTTCTGGCCGCTGAGGACGACCACGTACACGGCCAGGACCAGCAGCAGGATCACAAGGAGCCCCAGCAGACAGGCGCATATCCACGCCCACAGAGGCGCTCCTCCGAAGCAGCGCTCCTCCGACGCGGCGCCCTCAGCCGCTTCGAGCAGAACTGGGTCGTCCGAGCTCCCACCCTCGGCCCCCTCGGCGGACGTGGTGTCGTTGCCTCCTTCGGCGGGCGTGGTGTCGTCTTCCGGCGGCGCGGTGCCCGTCCAAGCCTCGGTGCTGGAGGAAATGGGCGACGTTGTGGTGGTGGGTGTGGTGGAGGGCGTGGTGGTCGTTGAGGGCGTGGTGGCGACGGTGGTGGGCGTGGTGGGATCTGGAATTACAAAAAATACAGTTTTTTTGTTTTATTTTCTTTTCGATTACAGAATTTTCACCCGAATTGTAAAAATCCGACGACTCCAAGCGGTAAAAGTCATGAGTTAATATCATCTATCATTTAAAGCCAAGAACTGACCTAATGCATGCGGTATGAAGGGATAAAAGTTTTAGAACATAAAAGATAATTCCAAATGATAAAAGTAGGCTGAATTTATTAATGATGCTTAGCTGTTGATCTCGTTACTTACAATCTAGTGTTTAAAAATTTAAAGAATTATTAAAAGTTACTTGATGTTTGTGTGTGTGGTCATGCCTTTTATTACAATTAAATAAAAGAAAGAGAGATTTACAGTTTTCGGAGTGAATAAATATTGCATTCGTAACATCCCCTGTTGACTCTGCAATGAAGACCATTACGTTAATTTTATTGATCTGAAATATTGATGAATTGTAGGGATAGGCTGTAAAGACGAAAGAAATGTATGTTTAGGAAACCATAGGTACACACACGCATACACAGACACACACACTCAACATAGACACGCCCCAACACACACAAACACCGATAGAACAACAATAACAATAACAACACACACACACACACACACACACACACACACACACACGCACGCACGCACGCACGCACACACACACACACACACACACACACACACACACACACACACACACACTCACCTATAACGGGAGAGCATTTGGTCAAAGCTAAGACGTCGGTGCCTGTTGCAACCTCATCCACTAACTTCATCTGCAATAAGAATGATTTATGAAAAAAAGAAGTAAAAAATAAAGGTATAAGTGTGTTTTCGTTTTCTATTTTGATTGTCTATTATTCAACATTATTATTGTTGTTGTTATCATTATGATTATTACTAGCGTTATTATCATTATCATTATTATCATTATCATCATTATAATCATAATCATCATCCTTATTATCATTATAATCACAATAATAATAATCATCTTCATCATCTTCATCAACATTACCACCACTATTATAATTATAATTTTTTCATCACTACCATTATTGCTATTATTATCATTACTATCATTATCATTGCTACTATTATTGTTGTTGTTGCTCAATATATTAATGAACATTACTATAACAATTATTATTACTATTGTCATAATCATTATCATTACTGTCAGTCTTATTGTCAATAGTATCATTCATCATCATCATCATTATTACTACTGCCATTATTACATTTGGGAGGAGGATTATCATCATTATTTTCATCACCATTAATGTTCTTGCTACTGATAGATGCTTATCAATGTAATGGTTATGTCACTAACAATATTATTATAAATACTATTATATTACCATTATCAATAGCATAACATAATTCATTTCCATCATCATTATTACCAATGAGGTCAGATGCATTCACATTAGTTTCAATATCTCGCTGATAATTATTACTGCCATTGAAATCATTACCATTGATTCTACTATAATTATTATAACATCCCTCAGTAATACTATTGCCATTATAGCTCTCATTATTATCCCTGTTACTGAGATAAGACAGGAAACCAAGCCGTTTATCTGCCCCGTCCCTCGCTCACCTG